CTCGCGCGGCTGCGTTCTGGATGAGTTGAAGTCTCCGAATACTCTTCAAGGGCTGCCCCATGTAGAGCGCATTGTTTAGAAGCAGCTGGGGAAGGAAGCTGTAGTTCTTCTTTAGCGTTTGAGCACCCTGTAGTGGGGCAGAGTTTATAAAGTGGGATTTAACACACACACTCACGTATCACTTGTATTGTTCAGCTGATGAAAAAGGATAAACATCAGGGAAAAGAAATTCTGATTCCCCCTTTCCTTACTCTTTAGTTTGTTTGTTTTTAATTAGCTTAGGAATGGAGAGATTCTGCCTGAAATCCTCACATGAGAAGGATACATGAGTATATTTGTAAGCTAAATAAGGGTGGAGAGGGCCATCTGTGTTGATTTAAAATCTAAAATCCTTGGAGGAAAAGCAGTACAACAAGGCCAGAAAATGGAGATTATTATTTTTTTCATTTATAAATGAAATAAAGTCATTATTATTTGCTATGGGAATGTTATAAATAGCAACAATTGAAAAGGTGTTCAAATCTTCCTTATGTTCCACATCTAACTATACATTCTACCAGGTTTGCCTTAAATTTCATAACACCATGGTTTGTGGCACCAACTTTTTAAAACTTGTGATGCTTCAGGGTTTAAATGCAGAATATATTTCTTTTAAAAATATTTTTTATAATGTATTAAGTTGTAGAATCTGATCTGAGTTCTTCAATCTAATGTTCTCTAAATGTGTTGAATTACAAACTCTTAAAACAGTGTTTCTCAACCTTGGCAACTTGAAGATGTCCGGACTTCAACTCCCAGAATTCCCCAGCCAGCGAATGGGAGTTGAAGTCCGGACATCGTCAAGTTGCCAAGGTTGAGAAACACTGTCTTAAAACCTATCCAGCATAGATATGGATTTAAATTACTGCTCAGCCATTAATGTCATGTAGTGACTGGTTCATGATCACTCCATTCAATGGAACATACTTTACATGGCTATTAAAATATCTGGTAAAACAAATGGATGTTGAAGAGGTGAGCCATATACACTGCTCTGAGAGTTCCTAATTCCTTAAAATTAATGATGCATATGGATAATAGTGTAATAAATAAGTAGAAATAGATCTCAGGGAATTATAACTAGTTTGTGTCAAAACTGTATCATAATGAATTAATCAATGATTAAGGAAGTTTTTATGCTGTGCAGCATATCAATTACAAGAGCGATGCACTTTTATATAAGTGAAAAGAATTTATCCTCCGTTATTTCGTTCGTGGCTGAATATAATTCACATCAGTATTCAGAATTCTTGGATCTGGATCAGTTGACCTGTTGTGGTGAAAGATGAATAGCTATTTTTACTCTTCTCTTTTTTTTAAAAGGTGTAATTGAAGCCTCAGAGATTGTTCAGTCCCTGAAGATATTGGGCATAGATGTTTCTGAAAAACAGGCGGGCAAGATTCTTCAAAGGTCAGCAGCTATTATTATGTCTGGTTGTTGGAGTGACTCATGAGAAGGCACGTCTCTTGAAAAATAAAATCACACGTTGGATGTGTTCAGTACGGTACTCCATTGTAGTAGGCTGGCTTTGAATTATTATATTAGTAATGAGGTTGCTTTGAGGAAGAAGCCAAGGATAGGCCAGGATTTCTTGAGAGAACCTGAGGGACAGGTTGGCAAGCTTGAAACAATTTTGGAGATATTCCCGATATCTGAGACACAACCTCCTTCTTCTGATCTGTGAGACACAGCCCTCTTCCTTAGCTTAAGGTAAAAGGAAGCATGGGTCAGAGGTAATATTTACAGAATTATCCCATGATTGCGGATACTTCTGTAAATTAACTCTTGGTTTAGCCTGTTTCTAAGGAAATGAATGGATATATCCATTCCATCCAGGTGTGGAATTCAAAGATGACTTAAACATAAGGTGACAGATTGACCGTGTGTGTGTGTGTGTGTGTGTGTGTGTGATTAAAATTTTTTAAAAATCGGGACTTTTTAAAAACACTGCGGGACGCGGGACAAATTGTTAAAAATCGGGACTGTCCCACCAAAAGCGGGATGTCTGATCACCTTACTTAAACATCCTATATATGTTGGGTTTGGAGAAGATTTATTTGAATAACAATAAACCACAATAAATTACTATCTGGCTATTTTCACACAAGATATTACATATAAAACATAGTTACAAGCAACAATGGCTATTTCATACTGCATAATAATCATTATATAAATCAAATCTAAGTGAGATTTTAATGTTTAACTCAGCCTCCCCATCTTACCTATTAAACATTTATGGAACATTCGTAGTTGATAATGCTTACTAACATATGGCAATAACAATATAGTTATGGTGGCGCAGTGGTTAGGGTGCAGTACTGCAGGCCACTTCAGCTGACTGTTATCTGCAGTTTAGTGGTTCAAATCCCACCGGTTTAAGGTTGACTCAGCCTTCCATCCTTCCGAGGTGGGTGAAAT